TTGGGTCTGAATCTTTATCCCACAACCATCAAGTCCTAAGCTGCTCCCCACTACCAATTGCAACTCTGTTGCTATGGGCGGTGTTCTGATCGGCCTCATTAGTATCAAAAACTAGCCACATGCAAATTTTGGTCATATTCCCAGCAACCCTGTCATCAGCATCTTCTACAGCCAACCAACCACTGTGTGTGTGTGTGTGTGTGTGTGTGTGTGTGTGTGTGTGTGTGTGTGTGTGTGTGTGTGTGCGTGTGTGTGTGCGCATTGCTGCTTTAGTGTGTCTGCTGGACCAATGAGCTAGGCTCCTTCTTCCTGAAATCACAAGGAAGGTTTTATTGTTTTCTGCACATCTCTGTCTTTTCTAGCACACGAGCTAAAGAAGCCAGATGGTAGCTGACTCTGGTACTTTCCTGAAGGATGGTTGATATGATTAGCAACAAGGCGTTTCCACCATACAGCAGGAATGACGTTACTGTGGATAGGACACAAGCCACTCGGGACATTTTGTTTTATTAAGGTCCAACAACATCAGTGGAAGAGAGGTGCTTGTGCTCCAGGTAGTTAGCATTGTCATGTTGTCAGTCAGCGTTCTATTTATGCACCAGTTTGTCAATGAGACGCAGTGACAAGAAGGAATAATATCTCATTTTTTAATGTTTTAGGAGAGAAACTTCAACAAGTTTTAATATTCTTGACAGTGTGTTTTGTCAAAATTGTCCTTATTCTGGTTGAGAATGATTAAGCTAAGCTCCTGTGGGACCAAAAATAAACAGACCAACTGGTGATGGCTAACCAAGCTGACAGACTAGTGGTGGGAAAGTATAGGAAGAAGGCTGCAGTGATACCAAGCTGTGTTTGCTATACCGAGTTACAGCACCACGAGGGAGGAACACGAGAAGCTAAGAGAGGAGATGGGTGTTGCCTTCACCTTCGATGCTTCTCTAGTCCAACCATGACAGGTTATTTGCTGCTTATTAATATTACATGGTCAACTATTAGTGCTATGATAACAACATGGAGGCAATTGGAAACAATTCAGCCACAAAGTAGCAGACTGTGAAATCACACGTAGTCACAGTAGTCAGGTTATTGATAGTCTTGTCTTTTAGTCAATAGGTGGAGCTGTAAGCAGTCTGGCTTTCATTGTGTGCGTTTGGATGGCAGCTGTCTGAAACACCTGTTTATTCTTCTGCTGATTTGTTGATAAAATGCATGA